CCCATAAAAAGGGGGAAAAGGAAATGCTAAATATAAAAGAAAAAACTAAAAGAGAGAATGGATGGAAATGAAGCATAAAAATATGAGGTTTCTCAATTCTCAAACATCAGTATTTGTCATATTGGGAAGACAAAGTTCTAGTCGATATCCTAATATATACAACAGTTGCGATGGAGCTATTGAACAAAACAAAAGGCCCTTGGATCTAAATCATTTTCACCCCCAGTTCGTCAGAGGATCATATCACTCTGAAATTCTTCCTCTTAACCCTCGCTTCCACCACCTTGAAAAGAGACACCAACGAGGGGAAAAGGAGAAAAACAGGAGTGTTTGATAATTAAAAAGAAGAAATGGTTATATGATGACAGTTCTTTGGGTGTATGTCAAAGAGTTTGGGGGTCGTAGACAAAGGGGAATTCAAGGAAATAACCACCCTCTAATGACAAAATTGCGTAAGGCTAATCAGTTTTCCATTGATTCTATCTGCAAAAGGGGAATAAGAAAAAGTTAGCTAATATAATCAGCACAATATATCACCAATTAGTTGAGAAGCAGGTCTGCTGCTATCTTATGGTTATAGGAGCATAACTGATATGCTAAGGTAAGTGCCTATCTTCACTTCTTCAGAAGTAAAATATTTCTAAATTAACATTCAGTAGTAAAATTACCTAGAGGACTACAATAAGATTGCCCTAAGATGAGATGTGAGGATCATATCTGGTTTCTGTACTCATATTGATTTCCATGAATTGACTTTGATCAAGAGAATCTTTCTCCAAGCTGTTTGATTCTGCCACTCCACAAATGCAATAGTAATCAATTCAATGTCGCAATTCATGCATATAGAGGAGCGCTACCAGGGGTATAGGTTTCATTATCCAAATTGTTGCCAGTGCAGAAAGCAGAAAGATTAGAAATAAAGCAGACAACCAAGATCTGATTCAAGGAAAACCCAACAGAGATAGAAATGCTGTGAAATGTGTTGGTAGAAACCAAGTTATCTAACTCCCATGAACATCAAGCTCCTTTCTTATATTATAAATATCCATTGGCAAATGGTTTTAGTTATATTAGCGAAAAGCCGAAAAATAGCAGCCTTTTTCTGCTCTCTAAGATCTAAATGTCATAGCAAACACAGTAAGACAATGCACGAGACAGCAAGTAAATTGGAATTTAGGGAAATTTTCTAGCACAAAAAAGGTAACGATACAAATAGTCATTTTTCAGACATTAAAGATAGCACAATCAATCAGAAAAAGCTAATTTAACAATTCTTAATACGAGATGACAGGAGTTTCATACATATCTATTGTTGAAAAGCAAAGATTTTATTAATAGCAGAAAAGGGAAAAACCACCTATCAAAGGACTCCAAGTACCTATTTACTCGTGTGATGAATTGGCTTCAAGTATTTAATTAAAAAGAAAAAAGAAGTAAGAAGGCATTTTAACATGTTTCTATTGCCAGCTCAAAATCAGGATGTCAGAAACTCATTTTTTTCTGTTTCATTACATGGTTTTGGAACAAAAACAAAATGGTATAAATGCTTGCAGATCAAACAGGCAAACAAAGCACAGATATGACACAGAATTAAATTTAACTTACATGTTTGTCCAAAATCATTGTAACTTAGAAGCCAAGACAGATATTTACTGATATTTCATTTAATCCCGTTTGCATTTGGCCATTGACTTTTGAAAGAAATCTACAATTTAAGAAGACACAAGGCAAGAACAGCACAGCCTAAATCTAGAAATCCTGTTTTGCCTTGGGTTTGAGGGGGGGTAAACGATGCAGGTGTGGATCTAGAGGTATGATTCTTCATCACATAAATTTTAGGATTTGGGGTATGGATCTAAGTGCGGATACGGGTTTCGGGATACGGTTAATAAATGTACACTACGACACATATATAAGTATACATTTTGATTAATCAAAGTTATTGAACTAAGATTAATAAACTTTAATATGGGCCTCTACCCACATGGAGGAAATCTCATTCTCCTTAAAGATAGATTTAAAACCAAAGGCCACGAACACTTGAAGAAAAGAGTGAAGCCATCTTAACGAAAAGGCAAGTTCAAATAAAAAAGAACACTGCTGGGGATTTTGTAAAAAGTTAAATATTTCAAACTAACCATCAACAGTTTCTTCAGTAAACTGAGGTTCGAAAGAATAATTTCATATACGTATCACGATTGGTCAAGATAAGAGAGTAGAAAAATCAGTAACATTTTGTCTTAGCGTACGACGTCTGAAATTAACAATCGCAGGACTAGGATGGTATTTTTATGACTTCAAATTTTTTTACAGCACTTTGATACAAAATCACCCAACACTTGCAAGATGTGTGGGGGCACATACCTCAGTAAAGGATTTATGAGTCATTTGTTGCAGTGGCATTCACCTTAGAAATCGTAGTACCACAATCTGCTGGATCACTCGCTCTACTACTTTCCAAATTCACATCAGGCACCGCAGAAGACTTTGAGACGTCATGAACCTGTTATAAAGGCACTTCATCATAAATGATCTCAAAGTAAAAGTTCCAACATAAATAACTCGACTTCGCTAACGAGGGAGGTATGCATACAGAATCATGGAAGATCAGAAACCAGCAGGAATGGAAGATATGTAGCATCAGTGTAAATCTGTTTTTGATAAAGAATGTAGCTCCAATAGTGATTATAATTCAAATCGGGCAATTCACTCAGAAACCAACCCATGTGTAGAACAAGTCCTCATAAAGGCCAGTTATAAAAAGGAAAGGAAAATTGGAGGATAGGAAAGAAATCAGAACTTTTAAATTCTAAAAATTGAAGGAAATGCTTTCTTTTCAGTTTCACAAGAGAGAGAGAGAGAGAGAGAGAGAGAGAGAGAGAGAGAGAGAACTTCTGACTAGAAGCAAATCCTTTTTTTCCTTCAGACTAGAAGCAAACTGAAGCATGTGACTGAAGAGGACTGCTATTTGTGGATTGATATCTCAAATTAACAAGAAAAGAATATATCAGAGCTTGGTCATAAAAGCCTATATCGTTCACCAAACATTAAACAATCCAAATCTGTTGCTTAATCATAAGCTCTGTATATAAATTTCCACAATACAGACTAAAGGTCACCACTGATTCCTCATGTTAGTTCGACAAGAGCATGAAGATTGAATGTTGGCATGTAAGTAGGCATGCCCTCATGACTGTGATTATAAACCAAAGAGAGGAAGAAGATTATAAACCATGGGTGATGGCAGAATATAAGCAACGGTTTGAGGCCATGGTTTCAAGTCAAATGCTAAAACCAATTCTGCAGCTTCATAAATGAAATGCTGCAAGTGCAATAAGAAAAATGATCTATGCAAGCTAACGGGGAAGGAAATTTCATGTTCTTGTGCAGCCACGCAGGCATTAGTACAAAATTTTCTCTTTAAGATTGTATGGCATGATTAAATATTCCACACAAAAAGGTATAACCTCTTGGGCTGGTGAAGCATTAGAGGGGGATGGACTCTTCATCTCAGCTGTAACATCTCCAACCGGGGCCTCATTTCTGATAGATTTCCCACCAGAGACATCTGCTTGCTGGAAGTTGTTTACATTTGTTTCTGTAGGTCTTGTAACTTCTTTAACAGAATTATGGTCGTTGTTCGGCTTCTCATTACCAGTTTCACCACTTCCAGTATTCCTAATTCTGGAAATATGATAACATCATCCAAAAGGCAACAAGTGAACAGAAGAATTGATAAATACTGAAATTCTGCTACTCTTATCCATCAAATGTAGAATTCAGAAGATCATGCACCTGATAGAATCATTGCAGGGAGTCTGTTCAGGTCTTGGTTTGTTGGAAAATAGCACTCCACGAAGCGGTTTTCCATCTATAACAGTTTCAATGGTATACCCATCTGGAAAACTCTTTGTGACCTTGGCTTGAAAAGTCTTCTTCCCCAGAGGAGTCTGGTATTCGTTCAAATAAATGTTCTGCCGACCTGCCACAATATCAGTGCACCTTCAGAAGTCAGTCAAAACCAATGACACCACTGTTTCACTGCTTCAAGCATTAAATGTACTACACAATGTATCACTACAGGGTCTATACCAAAAAGTACTATATATCAGATAACATATGACATGCTAGCACACTTTATTTTTCCTGGAAAAAAAGAGATCCATAGAGAAGTGTACGTGTTTAGTATCCACTAGCATAATTACATAAAACTTTGCCCATAGCTTATAACAAAGAAACAACAACAAATCTTTTTGTTTATATAGCTGTTGGATCATCATGGAGGCTTGCTTAGATGGATTATCATCCAATCGTTCCTCTCTTCAGTTATTCTTGTCTTTAAGGTCTCCTCTTACCTAACATATTGTCACGATAACAGTTAAAGCAATCGCATTGAAAAGACAAAAGTAACTCATAAATGCATTAACAAGGAGCAGCTTCAGTAAGAAAATTCTGAGGAAGTACAAGGTGGGAAACTACAAAATAAAATCAAGAAGATACAAAAAAAGTTTCTCACTTGGCTGTGTATAATTCAAAGGCAGTTGGTGATGGACATTGGCGTTATTCTCAAATCCAACAAGAGCATTATCATAGGGAGAAGCTAAAGCTTGTTGCTCCTGGCATTTTAACTTCAACTGCTTCCTCAAAGACAACTTCTCTATCCTTCTTTCGTCTCGTTCAGCCTCTCTAACAAGGCCTAGTGATATGAATATACAACATAGATTCATAAATTTCTCAAAGGAAAAGTTCTAAATCAATATTGTACCAGAAATAAGTACAAGCCAATGGAAAGCAGTGTGTGATTGTTGGTGGATTCAAAGATAGACCTGTATATAGATAATACATGTCCTCCAAGGGTTGAAGGTTATTATCACAACCACCTATGAACACAAGAGCACCTCCCAAGTGTGGATCTAAGCAATCCCCAGCTACTGAGAATCTGGCAGATGGGCCCTCACCAGTGGGCATGACCTCAGTCCATGTACCTGCAGCTGCAGGGACATTTCGAACATAGAACAGTACACAGACATCCAGCTTCAGATAGCGATCAATTGAATATCATATATCTCTTTAATACACACCAATCATGACAAACAGCACAATAAGTCGGAGAAATTATCATTTAGAAGTTAACAGTAGCACAGATTTCCTGAATATAGTTCTAAAATAACTTTTCTGATTCTCAATGATGAATGCTAACTAAGATCCACCAAGCATCATTTGCTGAATATTTTTAAAACAATTTCGAAATAATATGATCTCAGAATAATTAATTTCTTATTAACTGTTCTGAGGTACCCCGTTGATGTTGGGGACCACACAAGGACAGACACAAAGAGAATTTAAACCAAAATTTGCCTAGATGTTTGGTTTAGAAAAAAGTAACTGCACTTCCTCCTACTCAAATGCTCTATCCCATATCAAGTATTATCACAAACAAAAGAGGGGTCCTGGAGTGGTGGACAATAATGCACTTGATAATTAAGGAAAGAAAACATGGGACACATAAGCCCCTCATTCGAACAGAAAGATAATGCACTTGAAGAACCACAAAGACAAACTCATTTTGTAAGACTGGGGATTGGGGAAATATTAAATGCTGATCGAAGAAGAGCAAAGAATAGAAAAAAGAGACAGCATTCCGACTACA